ACAATAAGCTGTACCTTGCAATATTTTAATTAAAGAAGTTGTACGTACCTTAATTGACGCAAAAGGATCAATAAAGCAAGTGCGTTGACCATCACGATCAGTCTCTCTCCTGATGTTCCCGCTGTGAACTATTTTGGTCACGTGATGATGTGACATTGCTTTTGCAGAGGAGGGGAGGGGAGGTCCAAAAAAAAAAAGAGAAAAAAATTTTCGCGCTGGTCACTCTAAAAACTTGACAGAAGCCGGACGTCTCTGGCACCCAGGGTAACCTTGTTGCTTCCTTTTAAGTTAAAAAACAAAAGCAGGAACACCAACAACACACCCACCCAGCCATGAAACCTTTGGGACGTTTCACTCCCCATAGCCTAGTCTCCATTATCTTTACCTGTACTTGTTTATCAACTCATCAATGTGCACGCTTCTCGCACTCAAGTCATCCCCTTCTAATTAAATTCTGCATGTAGCATGCCGCGTTAAAAATGACGCCACTTTTAGCCTTTCTGACAAAACTTTAATTTTCCTTAATAAGAGACAAAGCCACACATAAGGAGTCGTGCGCACTGTGCGCATTACCTACGTACAGAGGTTTATCAGCCTTTGTATCACGTGGACTGATTAAGCCCGGCGAGGTCAAATAATATTATTTTTACAACGAGGCTCCAGACTGCGGTCTAACCCTTTCATATATACCGTTTTCGACAGAAAAGTATTTCTTTCCTTTACCAGTGATTGACAAGTGGTACCGCTTTCACATACCTTTTAACTGCTGGCGATGCACCCTCTCTAAAATATGAACAAATCACAAAACCAGAACGAGTAGTCACAACGTTTTCTTGAGTTTTTCATAAATAATAAGTAGTAGAGTAAAATGTATCTGTTAGCCCTTTTTGGACCTTTTCACAGACCAAAGTAACAGATTTTCCTATGGCCTTTGATATACTTCAACTCAGGAATAATTCGGCGGATTCTTACACGTGCATATACCGACTTTTATCTAAGGAACTAACCTATCAACTAACTCTTCCATCCTAAGCAACAGAGGCCTTAATTACAAACCTAATGATATCTTTATATTTAACAAAGAAAAGAAGTGAAAATACTACCCTTGGATCTAAATATCTCAGCATTTTGGATGATAAAAGCCTATAAACATAATAATTATTCAGATTGATGGTAACCCAATTGGCTTATGCATGTTAGGTTGCATCATTTTGTAGCGCGGCAACACTTGTTTTTTTAACTTATCTATCACTAGATGAGAAGTATATTGTAAGATTATTTAGAAGTCTTGGATAGTTGATCATTAATTGCGATTTGGATTGAATTGGATTTTTAGAAGCCGATAACTTGTATTAACTTATATATTTTCAATACGGGCATTACCATGCTAACAAACTTTGAAAAAATTCGTTTAGCTATAGTTATAAATCTTAATATTGTGTTGCAATAATTAATTTTTAAGTAAAAGTGTCCCCGATTAGTGGGTCTCCTTAGGCAATAGAAGAATCCGACACTTAAATAAAGTTTGTATGTATCTATATGTACTAATTTATCGTTATAGTCACATATTGAGTTGCTCGGCTTCAAAGTCACTACATAAAAGAGCTCTTCGGATACTCTATCTCCGGGGTATGCGTGACCATGCAACAGAGAGTTTAAAAGTCAGATTCAAGTTGAGAATTCCTCAAAATAGAAAATGAGCAGATAAAAACAGATAAAAACAATTCTAATGGATAAAAAATTGCGTGAAAGTGCTAATTTAAGGGTAGAAATAATGTACAGTAAACGACAATTAAAGAGGAAACTTGGTCACGTGGTAAAAATTCGCGTTTGCCGTTTGACGTAAACGTGATGCTAAACCTCTCTAATACTAAATTGGCGCCAACGTTTTACCCTTGAGCTTTGTATACATTTTAAACAATACTTAGTCTTATACACGATGTACACAACTACAACGTACCTTTTAACATTCTAAATCTTTTCCAAAAAAACAAGCAGTTCTCACTCTTACATCATAAAGCTACGTAAGAGCATCTACTTTAGGAAGTTTATAGGGTAACAGATCTGAACTCAAATTGTATAAACTGTCTTTCTCCCGCTTTGGGGCTTAAAGCTGTGGAAGTGTATACCTTGAAATATCTGCCATCTTTTAAAGAATAGATTAAAAACCTAGATTTCTTGATGTTTTGAACACAGAAGATGATTATATTGATACGCCCATCCAAATTAAAAAAGCAAAATCAGTCGAACACTATGAGTCCTAAATTCTACGTTGCTGTTGCTTAATATTCGGTTCCTACTCTTTCAGTAATTTGTACTTTTTCTTCGATGTTTTTGGTTTTCTTGTTGTTCTTTGATAACAACAATTAAAATTGTAACCCATACAACTTAAGTTACAATTACAATTGGCCATTTTCACGATGACGCCTTTGCTACTACAATTTACCACCAGAATCCTTCATGGTTTTGCTTCTTTGTGCAAATTTGGGCTTTTCTTATTTAAATCTCTTTGGGATTTCCAAATTTGAAAATGAAAGGAAAAACTATAAGGACTGTGGTCGTAGTAGTAAAATGACGACATCCAGCAAATGGCTTGATTACAATTCTCTATTTTTATTATGGTTCCAGTTGCGTGTTTGTGCTAGTTCCCAACTATATTGCACTGATATTTATCAACTTAGCACTATTGTAAACTATATTATTATTTTCTTCACTTGACACTAGCTACTGTCACAGTAAACTTTGCATTTTACACGCACTACCTGCCTTGAACAGTTCTCCTTCCTGTGGACAGTGCTATTTGTAATGATTTGTTGTCGTTGTTATGTTGTTGTTGTCAGTATAAATCAGCTTTTGTTCCCTCTATGCTATACCCTCCTCTCATTTTTAACACTCGCCGCTTGTTTAAGTCGTAGAAAAGATATTCAAGTGCTACGACTGTTTTCATGTTTGCCATTTGTGCGCCGATTGGTTCGATTGCTGAACGAGATAACTGAGTGTCCAAGTGAAGCGCATCACTTGGGGAGGGGAACGTTCAAATGGTACGACTAGTACGAGTCCATCTTGTTAGCGTAAAGACCGGAGGGGAGAGTAACACTGTTACCCGCAGCACGACTCGTATAACAGTATTCTGTACCCAGGGGGAGGGGGTCCAAACCTTCCACCTTGGTTCTTTTTCTTTTTTTTTTTTTTTTTCTTTACCCCTCCCCTTTGGAACCTGATGCCCCTCACTCAGTTTTCTATCCCTAATAACTAAATCTCAGAGTCACTCAGCGACCCTGTCGAGTCTGAAGAATAACTGTTTTTCTACGAGCAGACAACAACGCTTAACACTTTAGATGAATTGAAAAAAAAAACCGTCACGGAAAGCCGTGGGTTCATGGCAAAGTTGAACGTAGTTCTTTGGTTGTATGATATCGGCTTTTACTTATGAGAGGAGAAAACGACTCGAGGCAATCGGATGAGTTTCAGGCTAATCTTTATGTGTTAGCACCTAAAAGAGTCGTTTTCTATAATATAGGCGAGGAGTCACAACTTGTACAAGTTGTACCTGGTAAAAAGGCCCCCTCTCTGCAACAATTTTCCACTCGATGTATTTAATGAGATGCAGGGTCATTCCACGGCCGTGAAACTAGACATTGGTTTTTAAAAAGTATCAAATTTGTCTAAAATTAACTGAAAGCTAAAAGCGAAATGTTTAAAGTTGACACTATCATACAATTTCCAGGTCATATTTTTTCAAAAATAATAATTTATTCTGCATGTGTTGCCAAAAGCCGTTGCGAAGAAAACAAATGTTTTTTGACTTATTCGAAAAGCTGATTATTTTCTTTAAAAAACCGCTCTGTGACTTCAGCACTATAAACATGGTCTAATTCGATGGACGTACCTAGCTTGCGTAATTAAAGACGAGTGCGAAGAATTGGACTTGCCAAAGTCAAAATGTCTTCTCTGCAACGATTTCACTTCTAAGAGTTTTGATTGCAGTGAGGAAAACGGGCCAAAATGTTTAAATTTTCCAAATGTTCTAATCAAAAATCAGTGTGACCTTTCTCATATTGAACTTTCATCAAAATTCATAAAATTTCAAAGAAAATTTGATGTTTTATTTTTGTTGCGAAGAAGACATTTTCCTTGCTTGCGGAGAAGACGGCTACGAAAGCAAGACTTGTTTTTGGGGGCCAGCTTGCCCCCCGGAAGCATCGAGCATGAGCAGTAGACTGTTGCATTGTGCACAGTAATTTTCAGGGAGTTATACTAACTCCTCTAGTGGGGCTAATTTAACTCCTTACAGTGGAGTTATTTTTGGGGGAGTTATTTTAACTCCAAAAAGGAGTTTAAAGCCCTCTTTTTCAGGAGTAAAAGTGACCCCAGATATTGAGGAGTTAAAATGACCCCAAAAAAGGAGTTATCCTGTACCTAAAATTTTACTCCACTTTCGAGTTAAATTAACTCCAAAAAGAGTAAAAACAACCCATGTAAGGAGTAAAAGTAACCCCATTTCGGAGTGATTTTAACTCCAGACTGGGAGTAAAAAGAACTCTTTTTCAGGAGTAAAAATGACCCCAAATTCGGAGTTAAATTAGGAGTTAAAATAACGCCAAAAAAGTGGTTATCCTGTACCTAAAATTTTTACTCCATTTTTGGAGTTATAATCACTCCCTAAAAATTACGGTGTGGGTACACTATATCCAGTCGGTGCAAGGAAAGACCCAAGTCACCAGGCACTTTAGACGATGTTGTCTATTCTTGCATTTATAAATTATATCAATCAATCTAGATTTAATTATTTATTAATACTTATACATGTATAACCGCAGGTTATCAGTAAACCCTTATTAAAGCCTGTCTTCTATCGACAGTCCTCTCCTGTCATTTAGTACTATTGGATCCACGGTTTACCCTAACAAAACAGGTTTTTTTACAGCGAGCCATTTTGTCCTCTCCTCAACGTCTTCGCAACGGGACCACATCAAATCATTGCGAGATTTCGGGTACATTCAAAAGGAACGACTAACGACCTTTTTAGCCGTTTTTGTGGATATCTTAGCATTTATAGCAAAAGGGCTGCCTCTAATGTGTGCACCTCGCAAGCACACGGACAATGTCAAACTACCATACCACCTGTCGAGGGGGATAGTATATTCTGCCAAGTAAGTTCCATCCTTTTGGTCGTTCAAATCTACCTTTATTTCGTCTCCTCGCACATCTGACTTCAGTTTCACCTCATAAACGTCGCCGCCTAGCTTGCGTTGGCAATTTTGGCTGTCGTAAGAAATAATAGTGAATGTCGCCTTCATTCCAGGGTCTGCAGTGTTTGTTCCCAGGCCAGTTGCAGTAGTCCTTGCTGCACAGGTTGATACGTCACTGATGTCGCCTGCGCTCTGAATAAGCACCTCTATACTCTTGTTGGAACCACCGTGACGCATGGAACTAGACTGAGAGAAATCGTTGCAGTGAGTTTGCCTATTTTACATTCTTTACAACTTTAATTTTCAGAATTTTGAAAAACTCATTTAATAACACTCGATTTCCTTCGCTTTCCTCTTTCGCTTTCTTAGCAGTTTTACTTAACATAACTGACTGATTTGTGACAACCACATTTAAGACAACTATTGGATAAGTTCGTAAAGAAATATATTTGTGAAGTGAGAGAATAAGCAGTGACGTGTGTGTGTACTACGGTAGACTCCCAATAACACGAACCTTCGAGGGAGATCGAAAAAAGTTCGACTTGTCAGGAGTTTGAGTCCATTTCCGGAGCAGGAGTAAGAGAAATAACTCAGTTTTTATTGTAATTTGAACATTAAAACTACATTTAATTGTAGAAAATTCAGGTGAAAATGGACCGATGCTTCTAGATCTGATAAATCCGAATCATTCTTACCTTTCTGCTTTTCTTTTCCTCCTTACTGTTGTCCGGCTTAGTGAACTCCGGCAAAAACTGGGCCTCTGGCTCAAGCACCATAGAGTAGCTTTCTTTGGTTTCGAGTGGAGACACTATAGCCTGCCTGCTGAGAAGGAATTCAACATCGCTAGGAGATTGGATGGAGGTCTTTGCTCGTTGAAGTGCATTCTCTAAACATGTTTGGTTTTGTTGCAAACGGTCTCGCTGGCCCATGAGAATGGATACCTTGTGATGATATAGACCGACCAACCTAGCAATCAGAACTTCCTCGCGGTTATTTAACGCAGAATGAAGCTATAAACATACAAAAGAAAAGACACACTGCATGTGTAATATCCGCAGACCTATTCCAAACAAACAACCTAGATGAAAAAAACTGTGGATACGTCCGCGTCCTGAGGTAATGCGAACCTGCGTGCAAGCCGGAAGTATTAGGAAATAGGAGATGTCTGCACTCAGTACCTGATCATAAGCGTACGTGGTAGACGTTCTTTAATAGCCGAGCTGCTTAGGACTTCGTCACGCGCGTAACTTCTGCGTGGGAGGCTAGCTACGAAGTGCGTTTACTGAAATACGTTCAATGATTTCAATAATCATGTTAGTGCAGCTTTTTTATCATTTATACAATATACGTAGTATTAGTGGGGAGAAACAGCAAAAGACTTCGACGAGAGAAGCGAGCCGAGCGGTTGACTGCCGATCGTTCTTGTGCCGTAGCGGCACCCCGAAACCTAACATGAGCTAAGCTTTGGCATGTGTTATTTTACTTGGTTAATTCTTTAAGAAGGCACTTCAGTAAGACTTATTTATTTAAGGAAGCGTTTTAAGATATTTTATTGTTTTTGATATTTTTTATCTCACTGATAACCTATAAATATTTTTAATACCAACACAAATTTTTCCCTGATATTTTAAGCGTTAAAGACTATGTATATAAATATTAGCGTTATATAAGTTAATAAATATCATTATCGTTATTATTCTTATTATCATTAAGTATTAACAAATCACTGGTTTTTGCAAGCCACGTTCAGAACATAAAGTTTTGTTTCTTTATGTAACTGCCTGCATAAAACAAAAATGCTAAACGAAATTCGTAAGTAATTAAAAATTGATTAATGTTTCGCTTCCTTCTCGATCTTTCGATATAATGATAAAAGAGATGCCTTACTTCTTTAAAAAAGCCTTTTATTTCAGCATGCCGTTCTTTGTAAGCTTTCTCCATGAAAACAACTTCTTTCATCACTTGAGCTTCAGCAACTTTGATCTTTTCGACTTGAGTGCTGGCCTTGGTGACAAGCTCCTCCATTTCCTGTCGGTACTTTGAAGCAGCTTCATCCAGTGCTAAACTCTTGTGCCTGCTATGATTAAGGGCGTAACAGTCTCTACAAATAACACGGCCACAATTTTCGTCAAAAAAACGGAATTGATCGTTATGTTCTGGACAGAGAACAGATACGGAAGTCAACCGAGGGTTTGCTTTCAGCTCCTCGAGCGAAAAAACCCGATGGTCACGACTTGCCTTGTTGCGAGTGTGAAACTGAGCTGCAGTTTTGCACATGTTTTCTCTGCAGTCAAGGCAACAGAAAGTAGAAGGGTGCTTCTCATCACAAGCTTCACATTCGTACGAGCCTAGTGGATGTCCTATATTTCCAGCATGTTCATTGGGTGTTTCGTTCACTATTTCCAATAATGCAAAATTCCTTGGCATTCCCGCGACACCGGTAGGAACTCCGACTGTCTTTCTGCATGTGGGACAATGAATGCTGTTACGACGGAGTAGTCTCTCCAGGCAAATCTGGCAAAAGCTGTGTCCACAAGGCAGTATCCGAGGACATTTGCTTTGGTCATTGTAACCTTCAAGACAGATTGAACACTCCGGTCCCTTGGCCGCCATTCTCTACAACAGATAAAAAAAAGTTTTTCACTAATGAATAAAAAGGTAAGTTTTAAAGCAATAATAGACTGCAAAACATTCGATTTTTTCTCAAAATCAGTACATGTAGCATCAGTACATGCTTAAGGATGGACAATTTTCACGTGCGTACGTGCGCAAAATTTACGTTGGCAAATAAAATAGAGGCAACGCATGAAAGGTCGCTAATAAGCGTAAAAGTTGAACGTCGCTCAACTTCTCGTTTAAGCTCAGCACTTTTTAACTTGCCTCTATTTTACGTGATTAAAATTTACGTGCGTTAACGTGCGTAGCCAAAAACTCGCGAGGCAGTCTCTCTCCCCGTTTTCAGCTTCGATCCAGACCTTTTGTTTGCTCGCGCGTAATTGAATACGCAAAAATACGTACGGACTGTTTGCAGTATAAAGCGATAAAAAAATCAATGAGAATGAAAAAAAAAATTGTTAATAAATTCGGCACGTTTTTGTCGACCTACTACCGTTTCATTTTATTAGATTGGAAGTTCCCAGCATTAATTCCCTTGAAGAACAGATATTGTGAGGAACAGATTAGTTGGTTGCCCCATGTAAAGCTGCAGCAGGATCCATGATCAGGAAGGTAGTTTTTTTAAAAGAATCAGTAGTTTAATACCAGTATAGACATTACTGAAAAATAATGTTTGAACGTCTGATGCTGAGCGTTTCAAAATAATGTTACCAAACACGTCCTTCCGATAGTTGATTATTGATATTTATACGATTATGATCCGAGTGCCTTTCCCTATCGATATAACAGGACTATAAAAGTGTTAAAAATTTACACCGACTTACCGATAGTCCACTTATAAAACAGAGATGTGATATTAATAAGGTACTGAAAGTAGCTATGGCAGAGTTGTAATGTGCCCACACATTTACACACACTTTATTATTATTAGCAAATCTACATTTACATAAAGTTCATTTCCGCCCGCAAATAGCAGGTGCTAGTCGAGGCGGGCGGAGATAATAGGTACAGCAGTCAGTAATAAATTACAAATAAATAGATAAATAAAATAAATAAATAGATATATATAAACAAGTGAAATAAAGCTTAAACATAAATTAATAACATTTACAAAATCAACTACTTGAAACTAGTAAAATTAACTGCGACACTAAATTGAGATATGTATACTTGATAAATTAAACTCTGCATTTGCTCGATAGTTGGCTATTTTTTGAAGCAGAATGGGCGCGTTCAACATAATCGTCCTCGGCCTCTAATAACGAAAATAACATTTCATTGATATGTTTTTTGATAGCTCTCTTGGGGAGTTGACGAAGTTCATCGCAAATGGAGTTCCAAAGCTTAGCTCCGAACTTAGCAAATGAACCATGGTTTTGATTCAGTCTCGATCGGTTAATACAAAAATTGCAGGAGGAGGAGAACCTGGTCTCGTGATTATGTTTTCATTTGCTTTAATGAAAAGGTTACTAATGTTAGTGGGAACAGTTAGACATGAGACGTCGAACATTATTGAGGAAACTGTTTCAACGTATAACATATTTAAAGAAAGGATTTTTTAGGAGATAAATAAAGGCACCGCATGTGCTCTGGGTTCAGAAAAATACATTAACTGAAGGAGCGTTTTTGTATCACGAGGATTTTTTGAAAATGGGATTTAGCAGCTTGACCCCAAGCAGCCAAGCCATAGGATAGATAGAGTAGTATCAAACAGCGACAAATACTTAATAGAGTGGTAAAGGGACGAGGTGCCGAAGACGGGCAATAACTCTAATTCTACTTATTTTTAGTGCTACATTGTTAATGTGGTATTTCCAGCTCAAATGACTATCCAGTAAGACACCTAGATATTTTACATGATCCTTACACTCAAGGGAAGTAAGAATGTGATTACTATTATCAAACATTAGAATATTGACCGAATGGTCCATCTTACGTTGGTGAGGACGAAAGATAACAAAGTTTGATTTTTTAGCATTAAATGTTAACTTATTTGCATTCAGCCAATCCGAGACTCTGACCAGTACGTTATTGACCGTTTTTTCAAGAGATTTAAGATTTTTGTCGGCATACAACAAGTTTGTGTCATTTGCAAAAAGGTAAAACAAAAATTTCGCTGAAGTAAGTAATAAGTTAGTAATAACAAAGGACCAAGAACAGAGCCTTGTGGGACACCACATGAAATCTTATTAATGGTTGATAAATTAGAATCAATTTCAGTCACTTGTGAACGGCCAAGAAGGTACGAAGAAAACCAGTCGTTAATGATGCCCCTGATACCACAGTGATTAAGTTTTTTCAGTAAGATTGAATGATTGACGGTCTCAAAGGCCTTTCTTAAATCCAAGAAGATGCCACAAGTAAATAATTTTAGGTCCATATGTGCCCTCAAATGAACAAGTACGACATTCACAACAAAAACTTACGAGGGCGCTAGTTACACTATGTTTGATGCAACACCCCGGGGTAGAGACATTTTACCGAACGCCGCATGACCGTGAAGTTCAGTGATTAAGGTGACAGGTGCATTTAGGTTCAATAGAGCGAACTGAACCGGAACTTTATAATCAACTCTGTTTCCAAACTGTAGTCACTAACCTTCAGAGTCATTCGGCGTAAAAGGCTCGCAGAAAAGCTTTCTACTTAGAGATGCAGTTTAAATTTTAGATTATCAGCTGGTTTATAGCACGTGGGCTAGAAGCACTAGTTAGGTCTAGTTATTGTCTGCGGTCACATCTATGACGTAACTAAAGTTTAACTTAAGTTAGTGTCAAGTTACGTGAAGTCATACCTAACTGTAGTTAGTGCTTTCGGCGACATTGCGGTCACACCAAGCAGTTAACAACAGTTAGTTCTAATTAATGGTTTGTTGTTTTTGGTTTTTCCCTCGCTTCACGCTTGGTTTTTATTTTACATATTTATATATGCTCATCTCGCACGTGAAGAACACGAACCCTGCTTGGGTATAACTATAGTTAGTCTGTATTGTTTTGGGTCACCGAGGCGTAAATTTTCTAACTATAGTTAGAGCAGCGAACAGAGAAGCGGTCACAGTACCGAAATAGCTAACTATAGATATCCCCGTCTTAACTATAGTTAGTAGCCCAGATGTGACCGCAGCCATTGTCTTACTTAAAGGCCTGTTGTAAAGAATACTGGAGACACTTGTTATAAAAACGTTGTGAATAGCAGGAAATACTGATCCATAAAGTTTCGGTTTCAGTATGGTCAAGTGATGCTGCTAGAAACTCTTTGACTTTAACTGCAAGAGACCTTTCTTGATCATATAAGTCATTTGAGTCAATCCAAATCAACCATTTATAATAAGTAAGAGATAAATACCGAGAACGGTGGTATTAATCCATATACATAGATATCACGAGGGCCGAGGGATGTATATGGATTAATACCGACGTTCGAGGTATTTATCAAACTTATTTCATGATATAAATTCCTGATAGATCTTTATAAAATGGAAAACACATGATTCAATACTTTTTGTTCGAGAGAACAAAGCACTAGCCACGTGTACGCTCACACCTTCATCGATAAAAAAACAATGAAATTTACAAAATTGTGAGATTTTGACAAGGTTTCCTCAAGAGAGTTTGCGTTGTATTTTTTGGTTTATTTGTTCAGTTGTTTTGACCATTTCATCGGCGTGTTCGATTATTCAGTAGGACGATCCATATATTATGGAGTACATGGACAGCGAGAAGAGCTTTTTCTGATTCAAAATTGTGTTGTGTTCCCGTTCATTAACAAACCGTGAAATTAGGCACTTTCGCGTTGCAGTCGTACAATGAGGGCAAAGAAAAGTAGAAAAAAGCGTGATGTGGTGCAAAGTTGTAGTTTTGCTACCATTTTTCTACTACTGTTTTTTTTTGCGGAAGATACCGAACTGAAAATAGCGGAGAACTCGATCAGATGTAGAGTTTACATTAAAGTTCAAAGCAATAATATTTCAGTCACAGACTCAACTTGATTTCGAAACGAAACGAACTGTACATTATGGCAGAATAAGGTTGAATATAAAGTCCATTATGTGGCTTTGCAATAAACTTTACCTTGCAATATTTCGATTTAATAAGTAGTACGTAAGCTTACCTAAAGATCCCTTAAGTGAGGCAAAAGGCTCAATGAGAAAAGTACAGTGGCGCTTCTGTCTTCAGCTGGTCTTGTTATGTTGAAGGGAACTGTTGGTCATGTGACAATCCGTTATGTTTGAAGGGAGGGGAGGTTGAAGGACAGCTGCTTTGACCGACAGAAAAAACCTCTCCTCTCGGAACACCTCTGTCCCAGGGTCTCGGTGGAGTCAGCAAGAGCCGTCAAAAAACATATTTTCTACAGTTAACTGTCAAAAATGTTGATTAATACTTAGTAAGAACCAAAGGTTACGAAGACAAACGCTGTTCAAAAATGTTGATTAAGCTGCTACATACGTGCGGAAAGTTGTGGGGTCACTATGATGGGTTTACGATACTGTTCTTACGCTTGAAGAAAGAGATTTATTTGAGAACGTTCTTGAAAGCCCTGACAAAAACGATCAGTTCTTGAATATTTTAGGAAATTTAAAGATAGAGTCAAAATACTACACAATCAAGCAATCTGGCACGTGCTTTCAAAAATTTAACACAAGAGTATAGGAGTCCTTGCAAAGTGCTTTAAGGTGGCCGGAGATCACATCTATGAGGCAATGACTAAAGTTTATAATCTTTTCATAGAGCAAGGTATTGTGCCTGACATTCTCAAAATTTCCAAAGTAACTCCAGTGGACAAAGGTGGTGATATCACTGACCCGACTAACTTTCGCCCTATCTCAGTACTTTCTATATTTGCACAGATTTTTGAAAAACTGGTATGTAAACAGTTAACAAGCTATGCTGACAATTTGAAACAAGCAATAGATAATAACTTACTCACATGCGGAGTCTTTCTCGACTTCGCTAAGGCCTTTGATACTGTCAACCATGCTATACTGTTAAATAAATTAGAGA